TTTACAAAGTTGGGTGTTTGTGGTGTTAGCATAAATTAGTAATACCCTAAATAAACTGACAATTGGTTATAAGTCATTTTATTTTGGTTTTAGGTCTTTCTCAAGCCGAAGTCATTGGAGAAACGTTTTCATTTCTTTCAGTTGGATGTAGTACAACCGCGAGTGCTCTTGCTTGGTTTATTTTCTTCATGAGTAAACATTCAAATGTACAAAATAAATTGAAAAAAGAACTCTCTGAATACGAACATCAACGTCTGTCAATTGAACAACTTGGCAAATTAATCTATTTGGATGCTATTCTTCGGGAACTACTTCGTTTTGTACCAGTTGTCGGTGGAACTGTGCGAACATTGATTGCCGATGACCAACTCCCATCAACTGGTGTTCAATTGAAAGAAGGTGATCACGTGTTTATCCCGTTTTATAATGTAAATCGAGATCAACGTTATTGTCCAGGACTAATGGATCCAGATCAATTTCATCCTGAACGATTTCTTATCGAAACTAATGATAATAATTATAATAATAAAATAGATTCCGTGACATTTGGTGGTGGTCACTGACAATGTATTGGACAAGACTTCAACTCAAAGCAATTTGTGCACGACTAATGCAACATGTTAGTTTTGGTGATGATGGAGATAAACTTAATGCAGATGGATATAGACAAAGCGATGTAATCTTACCCAAACATATTGGCGTCACAATAATATTTGATTAATTATCATTCAGAAACAATATCGAAACACTTTTATAAAAATCACTTTAAATAGAAACTGCTTTACATGAATATATTTATCATAGAGTCCATCTTCATATCAAAGTAACGACAAACCATTTGTAGAGATTTTTTCTATTTTATCTGTTTTCTAATACCTTTAAAGTAAACTTATTAGATGTAGAATTTGGTTGTATAGAAAATCTGATTTTGAGGTTACATACAAATTTACTCAAAGCAATAATATTTGAAAAACACTCAAATCTGCAGGAAACTACGAAAATGAATAAAATTTCGACTAAGTATTACGACGAAAAAGAACAGAAAGTAATTGGAAAAATTCGAAGATTTTTCTGACAGCACTTTGGCATCAACACTCTATTGATTTCCGATGTTTTCCTATCAGGACCGGTCCATATATCTTCACCTGTGCATGTGTATCTCAATCGGATTTTATTGAGTATCTTTCATAATCGAAAGTTGATAATATCCATATGTAACGTCCCTAGTGAATGTACTGAGCTAAGGGTACCCATGTACTGAGAAAGCTTCAGCAAGGTACCCGATATGGGTACTTCGAAAAATCTCAGTAATTATACTGATATAGGTACTGCACTGGGTACCCATAGCTGTATGTTTACTGAACAAGTACTTGTATGGGTACCCGCACCTGTAATTTTACTGAGGAAAGCTCTATAGGGTACCCTAGATTTGTCTCGTTCTGTGTAGCAACTGCTCATTCACCGTTTTCTTTTGCACACATGGCTTCATATAAACAACTCGACAAAACATAAGAAATTAATATTTTTTCATACTAGGTTTTTCTAGATTAATTCTTGACTATTTATTAGTCGAGAACATGCCGATCTCGATCGTAAATTGAGAGAGGACTACCTTGAAGTAGTCTGATGGAGATCCGACCAACTGAGGTCCGGTCAGATTCCGAAGTTTGACCTGCTTAAGTTATCAAAATTAGAAAAATTAAATTAAATAAAATCGAAAAAATGTCATAAATTGCTTTGAGAGAAACAAAAATGAAAAATGTCAAAGGTTAGGTTCGATCATCAACATACTGCAATTTTGGTAACAGGGTACCTAAAAATACTGTACAATAGCACCCAGTTGAGTACTTGATCAGTACCTTCAAGTACCCATTTACTAGACGCTTTCTAGCAGGGTACCCACCCCAGTACCTTATACGTACCTAAAAGTACTTTAAGGTACTTCAGTACCCGAAAGTTTCTGTGACATACTGGTAGCAGGGTACTTTTTCAGGTACCCTTAGCTCAGTACATTCAGTAGGGATACAGCTTGTAGAAGAGCATTATCAATAATATTGATAAAAACATGTCGAGAATGATTAGATTTAAATGGTATTATATGCTGTGAGTGTGGGTGTGGGTGGGGTGTGGGTGTTAATAAAAGGAACATCTGCAGACACATCGACACCGACACACCCCACACCCACACCCACACCCACACCCACACCCACACTCACACCCACACCCACCCACACCCACACCCTATCACATGTGACAATAACGATTATGTTATTTGAAAGTAAGAGTGAAAAGAGTAAAAATAGTAGAAAACGCTCTTGATTACAAAAATATCAATGATCGAAAAATCATGTATATTTAATATCATGAAAAAATATATAAAAAGTTATTTTTCATGGCCAAAAACTTTTGATATGAATTATTTTATACTTTCTAAAAATACAAGAAGAAATGTAATTATATAATATTCTAATCATATAATGAAGAATATGGATACCAGTCATGACTTTCTTTATATCTATACTTGCACCAACACTCACACCCATTCTTTTCATAAATAATATTGATCATGTTAATTATACATAACGATCGTTTCATTGATTACTATTTTTTTTAATATGTACAACAGATTGAGATTTATTTTCAAATATAAATAGTTTTTCTATTTAGTTCAATGTGTGTATCGATAAAGAAATGATTTTTGACATTTATTTATAGAATTTCAAAAGAAGAAAAATATCATAAATGATAAACAACAACAACAAAAAAAACCCAAACTAAATAGAAGTTCAAATGATAATAATGTCAAATAAAAGAACCATTAGACTTGTTGTATAACTAAAGACTTTTTTGATTCAATTTGTTTAGCCAATCTGAAGGATAATTTTATAATAATTATCTAAAAATTCATATAAATGTAAAAAATGAATATAAATCAATGATATAATATAATTACTGTAAGAACCAAACAAGCAATGTAAATAATAACAACCACAAAAATCCCTATTGAAAGACCAATCATGAAATTCTTATTCTCAACATGATTACTTGTGTTTATGCCAGAATAGAGTACAAGAAAAATAATCAAGACAATTCCCATTCCAATAACATATAAAACCATTGCAATTATACCAATCCAAGCAAACTAGAAATTTACAATAGATATATAAAGTGATAGAAAAAAGTTTAGAAACAACGATTTTTTTAGTTCTCTTCATAATTTTAACCACATAGCTCCAATCCAAATAGTGATTTTTATAGTTAATGTAGTTTTCTATCCAATATACTTTATAGTAAAATTTCACAGATGAACAATGATGGCAAGACTCCTAAAAAACCGAACACGGTATTTTTCAAGCTCTAGCAGATTTTGCCAGAACTATTTTTGAACGGTACCCCATCTTAAAGAGCACAAAATTCTGAGCAAAATAAGGAGTTACCGAGTTTTCTACGACCTTCTCATAAAAAGTTACAAGTACCACAAAAACCATGAAAAAACGAAATTTTTTCAAAAATCAACTAAAAACGTCTTTTTCATGATTTTTGTGATGCTTGTAACTTTTTATGAGAAGGTCGTAGAGAACTCGGCAACCCCTTATTTTGCTCAGAGTTTTGTGCTCTTTAACATGGTATCATTCAAAAATAGCTCTGACAAAATCTGCTAGAGCTTGAAAAATACCGTGTTCGGTTTTTTAGGAGTCTTGCCATCATTGTTCATCTGTGAAATCTTACTATAAAGTATATTGGATAGAAAATTACATTAACTATAAAAATCACTGTTTGGATTGGAGCTACATGCTTAAAATTATGAAGAGAACCAAAAAAATCTTTGTTTCTAAACTTTTTTCCATCACTTTAGTTCATTTAGTAAACAAATATGTATGGTGTAAAACAAATGAAAAAAAATATTGATTTTAATAAAGATCTATCAGAAAATAGTATTCAAAAATAATTTTATTATTAATTGACTTTTTATTTCAAATGAGATTTGAATTAGTATCAGATATCATTTTAACTAGATTATCTAATTCAAAGATTTCAATCATTTTTTTAAATGAATATTGATCACATCGATTTATCTCAATTAAATAAACTAGAATAATTATTAATTTTTATTTCATTCGATCGATAAATTTAAAATACTTGAAAATATTTTATTTCTTGAAAAGACTCAAACGAAATGACAAAAACATATTTCTTCTATAAAGATTCGTCGAAATCAATTAGTTAATTCGATTGATTATTTATTAAAATAAATTTGATAGAAATTTTCTTGAAAAAAAAAAAATTTTTACAAATCAAATCTCTTTTTTTTTAATAAGAATAAAATAGTTATTTAAAATAGAAACATACCACTCGTAAACCAGTTTCATAATATCGATAGGCAACGAATATTCCAAATCCATAGAAAATAATTGATATAAGAGATTGACCAATTTGTGCACCACGTTGAGTTGCTTGCATACGATTAGCAATTTCATTTCCAGATATAGCATTTATTGTTCCGATTATAGAAAAAGTCTTAAATATTATACAAAAATTCTAAGATTTATTTAAAACTAGATCGTTTGATTTTCTATCAATAATTATTGAAAATATTTCTAAGAATATCAATGTTGTTAAATAATCAATCATAAAAATTATCTTTTGATTTGTATCGAACAAGTTCATTTTCATGAGTATGTTCGTAGATAAAAATAAAATTGCATTAATGCAAATACATCTTTTCTTACTATATGATATGTTATGTCAAAATTCAAAGTAAGAATAATTTTATTTTTTATTAAATAAGATAACTATTGATTGTTATTATTTCTGCATAATATTCATTATTTTAATAGTACGTGTTCTTTGTGATCTCCCACCCACTGTGTAGGGTTGATGAAAATAGATAAGTAAAGAGAATCAATGTACAAATAAAAAAGAGAAAATTAGGATGGTCTTATTTCAATCCTCAAGATCATCAAATAAAGTACTTAAAATGAAGAAAAAACTTCAAAATTACAAAACTAATCGTTTATTAATCTCTGTTCGATAGTGATTTGAAATATAATGGATATTGCAAAAATTTCTCGAAAAAATATCAGACAGTTCTATTTGAACAGAAAATGATAGAAAGCTAATTCTTCTTTTGTCAGATAGAACTTGGTTTCTACCTCCATGGACTTCTATTTATATACAAGTAGCAAAATTTATTAGGTTTTTATAAATCTTCTAAAGAGCAAGTCACAACATTTTCAACAGTAAACACATTATGTATGTAAACAAGGATAGGTGTTTGTCAGCTACAATAACTTCTATGCTATGTGATTGTTCGAAGACCATCTAAAGAAAATTTTCAACGTAAGCAAATCTATCATTATCAAGACTTACATTCTTAAAATTTTGTTAACTTATTTTGCAAAATTTTCTGTAAAAGTAAGTTTTCAGTATCAAATATCTAATTAACTTAGCACAAAGAATTTAGTACGATTTCTTCTGATATTATTTGTGAAAATGAAAGAGTTTGAAAAAATTGATATACATCAATTTTTAAAACTATAAAAACTACTTGTTTTTTTTTTCTGTCAACAGTCAAACAATAACAATCAAGTTTTTCAATATGTAGCAATACTCGTTATGTTACACTATATCGTAATAGAATTAGGAATGTTAAATAATCTATCAAAATTATTCTTATCTCTACTACCTACATTGAATGTTGTAAAAGTCGATTGAACTTCAATCGATTACTTTTCATTATGTTTAACTCCGTTTTCATGTTTTAGTTGAGAATGTGAATGAAGAATGCACACATCCACATCCAAAACAAGAAGATTTATATGATAATTATTATCTAATTAGAATGAAAAACTTACAAGACAGACACCAAGTATAATTAAAAGAATTTTTCGAGTTCGTTGTATTTCAGGATCTTCAGCTGGTGATATCGGTTTTGAAACAGGCATCCAAAATGTATTTATCATACCAACTTTTTCACTTTCTTGTTTGTATTGCATATCGATGATGTGCACGTTTGATTTTATGATAAGCTAAACGCTAATAGTAACAAGAAGAATTACGAAAAAAAGAAACGCGATGTAATTTATTTTCACTCCTCCACTCGATAATATATTATATAGAAAAGCGAAAAGAAAAAAAAAACATCAGTCAAGACTGATCATGATAATAGAATTGTTGTGCATAGAAAGAAAAACAACACGTATTGACCCTATATGAAGAGATAAAAGCAGCAATAAACTATTTTTAACATTATTCAAGAATATTTATATTTGACGTAACCACATAAAAAAAAATGAATAAATCGACCATTTCAATAATTTTATGCAAATATTCTTCTTCATGGTGATGACGTTTATTTCATTGATCAAAATTTTTATATGCTTTTATCAATCTAATACCGAGATTCGATTCGTCTTATAATACTTATATTTTTGAAAAATCCTATATTTCAATTGCTATTTCTATTTTTCCTATATTTTGTCAAAAACACTGAGAAAATTTAACTGTACCCTGAGATGAAATATAATAGTCTTCGTGGCACTACCCGTCCCCGATCATCACTTTTCACGAAAAATCAAGGAGAGATGAGAATAGGTGTTTCTTGGATGTAAGGCATATATAAGGTAGTCTATAAGTAGCTTTACGATAAAAAATTTGATTATCCTTACTATACGACCGCGTTTTTTTTTCTGTGATGAAGAAGAATTCAGAGATTTTTTCATAAGAACAACATTTATATAGATCAATAGAGCAGAAGCTTCTCTATCAAATTGTATATTGGACTTTGCCAGAATTCCATTTTTGAATCAAATGATAGGCAAACATTTTCGTATGTTTTACATATTAAGCAGAAAAGAGTAGTTATTGAGATTTCAGTCAAAATAATTGAAATTTACCTTGAAAAGTAGATGATTCTGAAGATTTTTTGATGCTCTACACGGATCTCGAATTGAAATTTCGATTAGAAAAAAGTATTTAGATTCATATCTGTCAGGGTG